CTGCAGATACAATATAGTGATACTACAAATGTTTAATATTTACCTTTCTGTACCCCATTGTCTAATACAGAACCAGTCATGAGTTAAACCCAACAAGACTGCCCTCTAGTTTAGGGTAAACTAGTCATCCCTGGTTAAAGAAAAGCTGGTAGATTGCTGATCAAGACATGCAGGAGAATGGCACAAATAGGAAGTTGAAAGGTCCCCTAGATATCATGCCAATTTCCTACCCAACACCTCAAACAGAGGATCTAATGAAAACCATCGCATACTGAGAACAATACCTCAGCAATACAAGGCAGAAAAGGTTGGGACAGTGCCATAAATACAGTTGGAGAGTATGGAAGGGTAGGTACATAAGAAAGCCAACCTGCTTCTCAAACAAACACCACCTGTTGGCTAAAGGGTGGCAGTAAATGCTCAAGAAAGCTCTCCCATTTCCCAGGCAAGATCTCTGCATGTACTCTAGGATGGTAACAGAAAGAATAAATGGAGAATTAAAAAAAAATACAGGTGAGCACATTCCCCACTCCATTCCTTAGGACTCCAGAGACTGGCCATATATCTACCATTCAGACACCAACCTCCACAGAGAGATGACATTTGACTGGGGCAGCAGGGCAGGGGATTTTGTGAACTGTAGTACATTTGCTATCAAATGAGCCTAAAGATGTAAAAATGAAATATGATGCAAGTCAGGGCTACTCAACTTTGGAAGCCCTGGGGGCCACGATAGTCACAGCACATATCGAGGGCCGCAACTTAAGTGCGGTTGCATATACATGCAAATATATATGCAAATAGATTTTGACACTGACTGACATGAATACAAAGATTAATGCAAGACTACACAACACGCAGGCCCCATTCAAGTCAGTTATGCTGATATTAATAAACCTCCTGGTGCCTCCCCCTTCCCTCACTGCCCCTGCTCTCTTAGCTCTCTTTTTCCCTGATACTGACCCCCTCACCACCCTCTGCCCCCGTTCCCCTCATGCCCCTGTGCCCTCACAGATGCCTTGCTCCATCCCCGCCTTCCTCATGCCCACCCCTTCTTTCAAGCCTTCTCCCAGCACCTCCCCCTCCTCCTCTACCACCCAGTGCCCTTACCCGCTCCTCTCCCAGCATCACCCTGTCCACCCCCACTGACACCTCCCCTCCTGCCCTTTTCCTCATTGTCTGCACTTGGCCCCGACATTTGTCTCTCCTGCACCCCTGTCCCTTGGTGCCTTCCCCTTTCTTCTTCTTCTTCTCCTGACCTCCTCCCCTCCGCACAAGCCCCTTCCCCATATTTTTCCCCCTCCCC